TTGAAGAAGTATTTTTCTTTTCCTGCTGTCTATTCAGCTACTCTGAATAGCTTCAGGAAGTTAGTTAGGTAGATGATAGAAGCAAAACTGATTTTTTTCAGTATATTACATAGAAAGAAGGAAGAACTGTCTGAAATTCAACAAAGGCAAGTGCAAGGTCCTGCACCTGGGTAGAATAACCCCAGGCTCCAGCACAGGCTGGGGTCTGACTTGCTGGGAAGTGACTCTGCAGAGAAGAACCTGAGGATCCTGGTGGACAGCAATCTGTTCATGAGCCAGCAGTGTGCCCTGGTCAGTGTGCCATTGGCCAAGAAGGCCAATGGAATCGTGGGATGCATTAGGAAGAGCATTGCCAGCAGATCGAGGGAGGTGATCCTGCCCCTCTACTGAGCCCTGGTGAGGCCACATCTGGAGTGCTGTGTCCAGTTCTGGGCTCCTCAGGGCATGAGATGCATGGAGTCAATGTTGAGAAGTATCTGAAGGGAGGGTGTCAAGAGCCAAGCTTTTCTCAGTGGTGCCAAACAATAGGGCAAGAGGCAATGGGCAAAAAATGATGTACAGGAAGTTCCTCCTGAATATGAGAAAGAACTTCTTTACTGTACTGGTGACTGTGCACTGGAACAAATTGCCCATAGAGGTTGTGGAGTCTCTCCCACATTCAAGACCCATCTGGGCACAGTCTTGTGCTCTTGGATGACCCTGCTTGAGCAGGACAGTTTGACCAGATGACCCACTGTACTCCCTTCCAACCTGACCAGTTTGTGATTAATCAAGTAAAATAACCATGAAGGATGGAGGTGTGATGAAAAAAATTAGCTTTGGTTTGCTTGTCAAACTTTTTCAACCAAAAAGGTTTGACACAAGTATCATTACTGGAATACAGGGTGATTTTGGTAGCTCTGAAATACTTATTCCCAGTTGGATCTTTGCATAGCATAATGAAGTTAAAATTGAGAAAGAGGGCTTTTTTGTTTTTAAGTATCTATCTGGATGTTAAGAAAAAATATTTGCTATGCAAAGTTTTTTTATTGAGAGGGAGAGGTACATAATTAAAAATCTAGAAAGAAATTACTTCAAATCCTGCAATTGTGGGACCTGTTTTTCTCAATAGAAGAGAAAATGCCGAGAGCTGTAGCTTCTGTATAAATGTGAGAATGCATTAAAGCACAACTACTGGAAATTTTTATTACTTTTAAAATATTAGTGGTATCTACAGGGCAAATTGATGCTTATTGTCAGAGTTTTTAATGTTATACCTAATATCTTTTCCATCAAAGATAATTGTTTGGTTTATTATGTTATTATCCAAGCAGCCTTAGCTGCAGTTCAGTTGTTCAGGGGTTTTTCTTTTGCTTTAGTGTCATGCTTTTCTAAGGAAGACTTCCAGACCAGCTACTTTCTGGAAGTCACTTGCTCCAGTCCATTGATACCTGAGACATACATACATGTATATTTTAACAGTCTTTTTTTGAGAACTGCTTTGTATTGAAAAAAACAACATCTAGAATGAAAAGGTGAAATGTAGTGCAGGAATAGCTTCAGTCTAAAAACGCTGTTTTTCCTTTTTCTTCCCTTCTCTCGTTCCCATCTTGTTTGGAGGAAACCTGAGGGATCAGACAGAAAAGATGAGAAGCATAAACTGTGAATGGCCCTAGACATCACCAGTAATTTCTGTATGTCTCATTAAGGATTGTTGCTTGTGTGTGCAGTGCAGAATATAGCTAACAGCTTTTTGTGTCCTTCAGTCAACAGAAAGGGCTTCTGCATCATCTGTGGTGTGCACTGAAGTTTGAAAGTTTGCAGGTGGCTGAGGGTCTTTTGATATCAAGAAAGATCCTCCTTCTGCTGGCAGTCCTGGAAGGAGTGGATATTGTGTTTTATCCCCAGCTGGCATCTAAGCACCATCCAGCAGCCTTACTCATTTCCTCACAGTAGGATGGGGGAGAGAACTGGAAGGGTAAAACTGAGAAAACTCATGGGTCAACATAAAGACACTTTAAAAGGCAATGCAAAAGCTGTGCATGCAAGCAAAGCAAAACAAGGAATTCATTCACTACTTCCTTAATGGGCAAGCAGGTGTTCAGCCATCCCCAGGGAAGCAGGGCTCCATCGTGTGTAGTGGTGACTTGGGAAAATGCTGCCAATGTGTGGTTTAGGTCACTTAAAAATATCTCTGACCAACGGTATTAGCAAAAGCAAGTTTAATATAAATTTGTGAAAGTGTGACTTAACAAAGTTCAATGGCAAGGTTGGCTCTGTTACTACTACATGGATGAAATGCACAATGAAAAGTTGGATTAGGGTCAGCTTAGAATTATTTTTGTGGAGACCAGAGATGGAAAAGGGTAAGGATGCAAAAAGGTAAGGGATACCCTCCACTGGGACCCAAGGTTCAGAGAGGACCCCCTTTCTTTCTAAATTCCTTATGGAGCCTAGGTCCAGCGGAGTCTAAACTCAGTCCCAGCCCTGAAGACTTTCCTGACCTGCTATCTTGTGTATTGGATTGTTCTCAGTTGATGAAGAACCTATTCAATGGTTGAGGAATATGCAGAAAATGTCACTCCAACATTTAATTAGGGGTCACTTTATTTAACGGATTTTAAGCTGTATCTTGATACCCTGGTAGAAGTGGTGTGAATCTGGGCACTCAATATGTGAGGCAGAGAATTTAGTAGGATTGAAAATGCAATGCTGAAAACTCAGTCTTCTTTTTTAGTCTCTTTTGTGCTTTCACTTCGGGGTTTTATCTTTGTCGTTAAATACATGTCAGCATAAGGTGTTGAGCAAATGGGCACCTCTTATTTCTACAGTAGGAAGTACTGTTTAACCCACACTCAGCTTAGTATTTTTTCCAACTGAAGACCACAGGCTGTTTGAAACCACCTCTCAGATTTGACTGATCACCGTAACACTTTCCTTCAAAATCTTTCAAATCCCACTTTACAAACTTTTTTTTCCTGACAGGAGAAACAAACTTAAATTCCGTAGCTGCAGGAGGACTGTGTTGCAGAAGAGTCTTTGAAAGGTTATTCTTGCTCTGTTTTTGCCATCCTTTTCCCTTTCTATTGATTGCATGAAGTTAGCTGGGTAGTGATAGACAAGTGCAGTAGGTGAGCAAGGACTTCTAATCTTCCTCACTGTTGGAGTATAGAGATCGTATGTGAACCTTGCCTTGGCATAATTGGGTGTGGACAGTAAAAAGCAACTATGCAGCTAACATGGCTTCAGCCTTGAGGCTAGAACAGAGGAGGCTTTTTGCCAAGGCCAGGGAGGAGTTTTTGGCAGGTGAACAAGTTTTCTCATCTCCTATGGACACCTGTTGTGATCCAGTTAGCACCGTACAACAAAGTATATTTTCCTTATGTATCCAATGCTATGTGAAGAAGAACCACATGTCTGAGTGTCATAAGCAGTATATAAGATGTCTTTCTTCTAATAAAGCCGACATTTTGCCGATCATACTAGTCTATGAGCAGTCTGTCCGTGCCCCTCCATCAACACCTCACCCTCAAAGGGTTTTGTGCTAGCAAAGCAGGAGGAGAATGGCAAGGTGATAGGAGAAAATTCTGCTGTGTTCATTTACTTGGGGGTTACCGAAGCTTGCATGTCCTCAGAAAGTTAATGTACTGATTATACTATTGGGAGTGTAGCAGTGCTTATATTCCTGGATGTATGTGATGGCCTTTGTCATGTTTTTGGGATGATAGAGAGTTGAAAGTGCTCATCTGTTGTACTTTGCTAAAAAATAATTTTGGTAATCAGACCCTGTACAATTATTTGCAAGACTTGCTTTTAGTAACCTACCAGGCAATTCTGAAAGGAGCATATATCTGAGTAAATGGTGATTGATCTGGAGTTTGAATTTTTTTTTCTGATCAACTAGACTGACAGAGCTAGAGCAAATGTTCCTGAAGAAGTCAACCTCTTGTGTATAAATTTCATCGTTCTACTAGTCTACAGTAGGGAAACTGTCATTGAGGTGGTAGTGCCTTAGACATGATTTGTGATGCATAGCAATGCAGCACTTGGAAGCATCTGAGTTGAAGCTGCAGGAGATGCACAGTTTCTCATGCTCAGCCTACCTTTGTATTTATGTGTTACATGGACTTGAATTCTGTGATGAGGTTATCATGCAGTCAACCAGGAGAAGGCAGAGGTGGCTTATGTTCCAAGTTCTGTAACAACCTCCTTTTTGTCACTGTCTGGAGTTGACAGGCTAGTGTCACTTTCTTCAGAGAGCTCATGTTCAGTACTGTGGGGATTCAAAGTAGCTTAAAGCCCATGCATTGAACTGAAAACTTCAGGGAAAAGATTGTATATTGAAACTAGTAATATTCACTGTAACGTTATAGAAGTATGAATCCTTTAAGGAAAACCTGGATATTGTTTTAATATAATGCAATAGTTAACCTTCCTGAGGTTCTCCACTGTGTACTGGTATGTTGCATTGTGTCTCCTCCTCCCCCAGTAATGAAGATTTCGAATTTCTTAGCGTTAATCCTAATTTAATTAATTTATTTGTTTTCAATTATGTTTATTAGAATTGGGATTTTATTAATATTAGGTTGTGAATACATGAATGGCAGTTCTTCCCTCTACATGCTTTACTTTTTTGGGTTAGAATCCTATGTGATTTCTATTCCCAGAAAAAACCTTGGCTGCAGAGTCTATGTACCATTGTGAGTACTTATTTGTTCCACCTGGTATTGAAGTTCCTGGTAGTTCTGCTTTAGCAGTCTCAAATGATGAAGAACAAAAAGAATAAATAAAATTTTGCTATCCCTAAACTGCAGGTTTCATGCAGGCAGGAATGACTTGCTTGCAAAATTCAGTTTGAGTTGTGCACAGTTATATCCGACTGTGTGTGTGCGGTTTTGTAATGGTGCTATATGGAAGTGTTATTGGAGATTTACTCATGTGGTTTACTTATGCATTTAAAACACAATTTTTTTGTATTAAATACAGGTTTTTCTCTGTTTCAGTGTGCAAGGATCCACCCTACAAAGTTGAAGAATCAGGATATGCTGGTTTCATTTTACCAATTGAGGTTTACTTCAAAAACAAGGTATGGAATCTCATATTTTCCATTAAAAAATTAAAAAATCAAGTGTGAGGTTTTTTTAAAGTTTAATTTGTAAACTTGGATAACAATTAGGCTTACAGCTAACTTTGTCAGTGCTGTTCCTCAACTCAATATTACTGTAACTCTTAGAAATGCATAATTTCACAAAATCATAGAATGGGTCATGTTGGAAGTGAACACAGTGGATCATCTGGTCCAAGCTCCCTGCTCAAACAGAGTCATCTTAGAGCACATTGCACAGGATCACAATCAGGTGAATATCCAATGAGGGAAACTCCACAACTTTGGACAATCTGTTCCAGTGCACAGTCACCTGCATAGTAAAGAAATTCTTCCTCATGTTCAGGAGGAACTTTGTGTACATCAGTTTCTGCCCATTGCCTTTTATCCTATTGTTTAGCACCCCTGAGAAGAGCCTGGCTCCATCCTCTTGACATCCTCCCTTCAGATACTTGTAGACATTGATGAGGTCTCCTCTCAGTTGTCTCCTCGAGTCTGAACAAGCCCAATTCTTTCAGCCTTTCCTCATAAGAGAGATGCTTCAGTCAATCATGCTTGTCACTCTTCAGTCGACCTGCTCCAGAAGTTCCATGTCTCTCTTGTACTGAGGAGCCAAGAACTGGACACAGCACTCCAGATGTAACCTCACCAGGGCTCAGTAGAGGGGCAGGATCACCTCCCTCGATCTGCTGGCAATGCTCTTCCTAATGCATCCCACGATTCCATTGGCCTTCTTGGCCACCAGGGCACACTGCTGGCTCACAGACAGGTGGTTGTTCACCAGGACTTCAGGTTCTTCTCCACATGCTTTCCAGTATGTTGACACCCAGCCTGTGCTGGTGCCTGGGGTTATCCTACCCAGGTGCAGGACCCTGCACTTGCCTTTGTTCAGTTTCAGGCAGTTCTTCTCTGCCCATCTCTCCAATGTGTTGAGGTCCTTCTGAAGGACTGTACAGCCCTCTGGGTTATTGGCCACTCCTCCCAGATTTGTGTTGTCAGTGAACTTGCTGGGGAGCATCTGCCTCTCTATCCAAATCACTGATGTAGAAGTTAATCAGTACTGGGCCCAGTATTGATTCTTGGGGGACAGTATTTCGTAGATAACTAGTGAAATTAGGATTATTTGATTTAAAAAAACCCCAAACAACAGTTGAATGTAATTATTCTGAAGAATTACTAGCCCTGCTCAAAAGTGGACAGACTTTAAATAGTGCTTAAGAAAGTTTAAGAGTCACTTAAACTTGAGGAGAAGAAACCAATCTTGATTATGTTGATTACATAGGGGACTTATTGTTCTATTTTAGTATTGCAAATCTTTATAACTTGTTCAGGTTTTGGTCTTTCAAAACAGTCTTTTTTTGCACTCTTGCATGCTCTATCTTTTAGAAAACGTTCTTTTAGACTGCATGTGAGCCCTCATTCTACTCAACTCAACGTTACCGGGGCTCAGTGCCATTCTACCAAATGCAGTGCCATTCTACAAAGCTTATGTTATTGTAGTGTCTCACATTCTAGGTAATTGCTGCACTTACTCCAAGTCTCAAATAGCAAATACAAGGGTTTTCTTTAACATACATAACAGGGTCTATATTACTAATTACCAAGATGTAATTTAACTTAATTATTTTAATCAAGTCAGCATTACATCTTTAATGTGTTGAATGCTTGGTGAAAGACTAAACCAGAAAGAAAATAGAAGTGCATAAAAGAAGACTTTTTCTGGAACCCTGATCACTTAAAAATTGTGTTAGAGTTAACCATGTATGATTTCAAGTATGTATTCCAGTATTCTTTTATCTTTCACAGAAAGCTCTGTTAAGGTGTGAGATGTGGATAATTCTGCTCAGGCACTTTTTAAGTTGTAGGTAATTCTGACATGTTCCCTGTATCAATCTGTGAAGAGCAGGTCTTGGTCAACCCTGTTTGCTGTCAAAAATGGAAACAGAACTGCCTCAGTGAGTTGATCAGCCTTTTTGCTGTGCTCTTTAGCCCTATCTCCATTAGGGAAGTTGTTTTGATTCATTCAGGAAATCTAATGAAAAGCAATCTATTCTCCTTAACTTCTTTATTAAATGCTCATCCCAAAACTGTTCAAAGTAAGTCAGAAGACAGTGAGTCAATCACTGAAGCATCTCTACAGAAAGCTTCCTGCCCGACATTTCTTTTTTTGTTTTCCACTCAGACTTTTGCGTGCCTTTGCTGACTGTGGAGACCTGCAAGTCTCAGGAGTTCTCCAGCAGGAGTTCTGGCTTAGACTGAGATCAAGAGGGCAACTCACCTCACCCTCAAGCAGCATGTGGAATTAGAAAGTTTGCAAACATCCCTCACCCCTATTTTGGTGTCATGGAATACGACAAGCAGCAGTTGGACTGTGAGTCAGCTAGCTCTTCACACAGCTGCAGCAGCATGCCCTTCCCTGGGGTGGGTGAATGCAAAGGAAGAGTGGCACAAAAATTGAGCTGGCAAATTACCCCTTTCTTCTGGCTCAGCTATTCTTCCTCCCTTAAGCCACTTCACATGTATTCCAGTACAGAAAAAGAGGAGATAGACAGAAGGAGGAAGAGGAGACACACCATCATCATTTTTTCAAGGTAGACAACTTTTCAATTTCTGATTCAGAAAATACTGTAATGAATAGAGAAAGAAGGGGTACAGGAAGCCACCCAGGGCCACGGAGAATTAAATGGTGCCCATTCCCAGGACTAAAAAAAAAACTGGTAGAAAGCTTAACAGGTATTTCACAATGATGGAAAATATTTCAAACTTTAAAGAGTTAGGGAAATTACAACAACCCCTGCTCCCAAATTCAGCAGCAGCAGGCTATAGTTGTTAATCATTGAGACAAAGTCCTTAAAAATGCTTTTAGGTCAAAAGACTCCTACTTGGGAAAATGTAGTCCATACAGGATAAGGCTCATAACGTGCAGGATATTTTGTCTTCACTGTCACACTGTTTTTAAAATACAGGCAGTACAGTGACACCGAAAGTCTTTTGTGTAGTAATAGTCTGCTTTTTAATCACTGGTTATGTTCATCTGACTTTCCACAAAGTTCTTTGAAGACTTCCATTTATGAATTCTTAAAACTTTGCTTTTATGGCAAAACTACTGGTACCAACTTTTTGCCTATAGCAACATCACGGTTTTCTAAGTAGACCAGGGAATAAGTCACTTCCATTTTTTTCTGCATGAAATCATAGATTAATATTTCTAACAAGAAGAAATATCATCATCGATGGTTACCTTTGAAAATGATCTGTCAAGAAAATAGTTCAGTCTAAGAGAACTGCTTCTTCTGTCTTCAGAAAAAGACAACTGCGAGCCTTTTATTTCAGGTCCCCTTCTGTTGTTTCTGCTCCAAGTCTAGAGATGAGACAGTTAGCATGTCCCTTGGCTGTGTTTGAAATCTCTGATTTAACTTTTAGAATAACTTGAGATTTCTATGCTTTCTATTCTTCCCATCCTTGGAATCCTGAATCAAAATTAAACATGGTTAATGTGAATTTTTTTAAGCATCTGTCACTGAACAGAGCATGTATTTTGATTACATGCAGTGTTGGATGTGTGCTAAGGTTTTGATACATCTCTTCCTCCTCTTCCATCATGGTTTCCTTTTTAATAAAACTTTTCCTCAGTTTTACTTTTTATATGTGTTCTACCCTGAGACGGACATTGGTTTGGTGACTTCTCTTGCACATCAGAACCTTTGGAGAAAGGGCTACTTAATAGTGCCTTAAAAAAGCACTTACATACAGCTTCTAGAAGGGACTGTGAAAATGTGTAACAGAAAATGTACTTAATTTGTTATACCAGAGAAAAGATACTGAAGTCGGTACGAAGACTCAGCTGAAAAAGGACACTAGTGGCATTCTCGGGGCAGTAGAGCACTGGTGATTTCTTTCAAGATACGTTTGCTCTTCCTGTTCTTTCTTTCTTCATATTGGTACAGGGAACATTCAGTTTCATTTTTTCACTGCAGTGGCAGAGAATTTGGATTGTTTGTAAGCTGTAGTACAACACTTGAAATCTATCTGGCCACATTTGTTCAAGGCAATGAAGTTTCTTTAGTAAATGAGCAGACCCCATAAATAGGAGATTAAATGTAGTTGGCTGCAGCAGTTTCATACTTAGTACAGCTTGTGGAGAAAACAATAGTTTGGCTGCAGTGGAGGAATTTGCATTCAACACTTTGTACAGTGTCTTCAGCACTCTCTAGGGCTCAGAAGTGTGATTGTGTTGGTGACTGAGTTACCTTGTGTCAGCTGAATCATGATACTTGCCTATGTGCATATCTGTAGCCTGTGCATAACATGACATAAGTGTTAATTAAGCCTGGTCAGAGCTTCATGAAGTTCATGCATTTTACCTTGTGTTGTCATGGGCTGATAGGAGCTTCTCTGATTTACTGTAGCTCAGCTGACGCTTGGTAAATTCCATCATGTGTGTCTGAGAACACAAAGAATGGTTAAAAATGACATAATTTTAATTTTAATTGACAGTCTTTTTGTAGCCCTTGTTTTCAACTTAGTTAGTTTTGGTGTTAGATGTTTCTATCTGGTTATTTTCAACCCTCAGGAAGAACCTAAGAAAGTTCGATTTGACTATGACTTATTCCTGCACCTTGAAGGCCACCCACCTGTAAATCACCTCCGCTGTGAAAAGCTCACATTCAACAACCCGACAGAAGAATTCAGAAGAAAGCTGCTAAAGGCAGGAGGGGTGAGTCCTGCACCCATGTCAAAAGCCATCACAATAAAGATGTTGCTGCTTATTGCTGGTGCATGATTAGTATGATAAGAAAGATTGACCTGACAGTGAAATGAAGTGTTTTTGTGATTAACTTCATATAGGAGCTCAGTACTTGCCTTTAAGTGCAATGGGTGAACAAATGAGCATGTGCCTACCTTAAATACTTGTTAAGATACTTGTCTTCACAACCAATTAGTTAACTTCTGCGAAAGCAGATCTTGGACCTTGTCATGAAGCACTGATTGCTTGGCTTTCCAGAGATGAAATACAGGATGGCTACTGTGATGGGACAAAGTAATAAGAAAATAAGATGTCATTCATTGAAAGAGATATGGTTCTGTATTAAGCAGAATAAATTCAGTGTTTATAAAGTAAAATGAGTTAGAATCTGTAAGTATAAACAAGCTTACTTAAATTTAGTTCATCAGTGTTATGCAATCTGAACCAGAAAAGTGTACCAGCTTCTTTACTTGTTGGTAGAATTAGCTGATGTAAAGAAACCCAAAGGAAGCTTGCTCATTTGGAGGAAACAGAGGGCTAGAAGGGCCAAACATTTACATTTACAATTTGTGTGTTAGTGGAAGCTGTTCTACTGTGTTTCAAATGATGGCAGAACTATTCATACTGTCAGGGACCACCAGAGGCGAGACCATTGGGCGAGACCAGGCTGCTCAGGACTTCACCCCTCCTTGCCAGGGTGTGAAACTTTCCCTGACCAAAGGTGACCCAGTCTCCCTGGGCCTGGCTCCACCACTGGGCTGTCTTCATGGGCCTGCTGCCTCTTGTTCTTGTCCCATACACCACTGTGAAGAGCGTGACTATGTCTCCTCTACTCCTTCCCATCAGTGCCATGTTGATAGGAGGGAATGGAGGACCTGTTGGGTGCCCCCAAAGCCATCCCTCCTCCAACCTGAACCAGCCCTAGTTCTGTAGCCACTTCTCACTGCATAAGGTCTCCAGCACCACCGTCTCAGTGGCCTCTTCTTAATTCCCTACATTTTGTTGGTGGTGTTTCTTTGTTGGGGATCCAAACCATAAGCAGCACCTAGATAGAATCTGATAAGCTTCAAGCAGAGGGTAAAGCTTCTACCCTCTCCTGGTTCCCAGGGCTGTGACCTGCTCGCAAGACCTGGGGCACTGATAGCCGTTGTTTCTGCCACATGGGTGGCGCTGGCTCAGCTCACAGCCTTCCTGTGCCTGGGACCATGCCCCAGAGTTGTTTTCCAGCTGTAGCCTCATGGCTGCAGGGCTCTGCCTTGCTGGGACAGGACTTGACATTTGTTAATTGTCCTCATTGTATTTCATAAGGCTGCTGTTAACCCATTCCTCCAGACTGTCTGGATTGCTCCTACAAGTCCTGCTTGCTCTGGAGTGTCAGATGCTTCTCTTCCCCAGCTGATTATCTGCAGCCATCATGAGTGTCTTCTGTCTCCTCATCCGAGTCACTGATAGAGGTGTTAAGCAAGCCTTCATACTGTAAAATTACAAGTGTAAATGCCAGTGCTTATCTTTATTTTTAAACAGTCATAACAAAAGTGGGTAGCCATTTTTGGCACCTTTAGACAGCAGTGGGTTCTTGGCTAGAGATAAGAGGGAGTTAGTGTGAGAATGTTCAGTCTGCTGAAGAGAATCTTTGAAAACAAAGCAAAAATAAGTAGCATGTATAGTCTAAACCTTGTTGCCCTCCTGAAGAAGAGAACTGTCACAACTATAGTTATATTGAAATAGAAGCATGAATGGTGTTTTGTGTTTGCATTTTTTACATGGAAGAGGGTATCCATGTCTGAACATTTGGCTTTTTAGTGTGTTTGCAAATTAAATAAGATTTTATTCTGGAAAACTTCATGAGCCACTGCCTTAGTATTAATTGTATCAGGTCAGTTGTCAATGGACAAGTTTTACCCACAAGTTAAATAAATCTAAATGATGCCATCAGGGACTTTGGGGTTGAGGGGCAATGTTTAAAAAGGTTAAAATAGGAAGTGTCTTTTTTATTGTTAATTTTCTGTGCCTTCTAATTTTAGCTTTCTTGAGTTAACAAAAGCAAATATTTTGCTTAAGTGTAAACAACAAAATGTGGCATGTTTTGATCAAATGCTTTCCCTAAATATATCAGTGTGATCATTCTTAGAATACATTGCTTCATTGCCTTTTGTCTTCTGGATACTACAAACTGCTCAAACTGCATGGCTTGCTTTTTTATTTTTCTCCATTTCCCCAATTCCTTTTCAAGAAATAAGTACCTTCTGGTGAAGTTACCTGTGTTTTCTGCATCCCTTTATGGACTTTCTGACCTAGGAGTGTATCTGGTCTGGTTGACAGAGACAATTTAACAGCATTCTGTGTGTCTTGTTACTGACAGTCTCTGTGAAGGGCTTTCATCTCCTAATGTTGAAAAGTCCATTGCATTTTATGAAATACTGTAAACAGGCTTTTGTTAGGCTCTTGTAGAAGGCCTGGAAATTCACTCTTGCTTCCAAGTGTGTGTAGAACAGACAAGAGAATGAATGCACAAACATTAACTCACTTGTAACTTCCCTGCTTTAGGCTGAGAAAAGCATTTACAGGATAATAAAGTATGAGATGGATCTTGCACTTACTTATAAGTCAAAACAATACTTCTAGCTTATGGCTGTAACTAGTCAGTGAATTTTGACAGACAACAACTCTGACAAAATGAAGCTCATGCCCTTCAAAATGAATGAGATACCCTGTTAATGTAAAACACCTATTGGTAGCTTTAAGTAGAGTCCTTTAACATGGTGGACTTCTGCTTACATGCTTTTAAATAATGGTCTAAATTGCTTGACTTCTGTGCACCTCAAAATCCTGATCTCTAGTTTTTCTCCCAAGTGAAAGTTATGGGATGTGTTGTTCCAGTGACATGAACTACTAAACATGATTACATCTTATTTGCAAAAATATATGTGTATTACAAATCGTATATCCTTCTGGAGGGAAAAGGGCAAGGTCACCTGGTATCTGCATGCTGCTATATTCAATATAATCCTGCCTGTGTGTTTGTCACTTGCTGCAGATTCCTTGAATTATTGCTTGGATGCTCTCAACTCCCCTTTTCTTTCTCACATGCATCTTGTGGCATCCTGAATGTGAACTAGTCAAGGTTACTTGCTAGAGCCACTGTTCTTTTGTCTTTCAGACTAAGGAAGTTTTATTACCCTTCCCCATCCTTCATGTGCCCTAAGGCCTGACTGGCTGTCCTGCAGTTCACTGGGATATGAGTAATATTGGGATATTTCAAGTAATTAAAGAAGTGAGAACACAACTGTAGTACAGTCTTGCAGTGCCACTGTGGCCATTCTAGTAAAGGCAGACAGGACATTTAGGGTGGTACCACTCATGTAGATTAACTCTGTGGAATATTTATATCTTAGCATTTTATTTGATATCACTGGAATTTAAGAATAAATGTGCAGTTAGTCTTCATTAGGAGGAGGTCATCAACTTGCTCATTTCTCTTCCAATCTGACAATTTAATTTTCAACTCCTAGAATAAGGGTTTGATTTGGCTTCAGAGACTGCATTTCTGTAGTGAGGCAGGTAAATAGGAACCTTTGGTTCAGTCTTGCATAGGCTATATCCAATTTGCAAACTTCTTAGTCAAAGTTTTCCACCTTCAGAAGTATATTTTCTACATGGATCTTTCCCCGCCTGTTGGAAAGTTTTAGTTACACTTGAGTCCATCTCTGCCATTTACCTAATTTCAGTTGACCTTGTTCTCATAATTATAAAAACAAATGTGTACAGAAGAAATAAAACCTTTTCAAAAGCACACTGGGCAAATTCAACCAAACCATTCAGGACAATCGTTTATGTTCTATTTATTTGCATATATATTCTAAATGACATTTCTTTTAGAAAGGTTTGCTGTGGAAATCATGCTACTGAGAATTATTTGCACCATTTACTCAGTGTCATTCCTAATCACCTGAAGCTAACATGTATACATGTATTCTCATGTGAACTAACAACCTGTTGCTTGAAATCCCCAAGGACACCCTGTATACAAATAATAACTTTTAGTTATTCTATGTGTTACCAAGCAAGTCATCAAGCTACTGGTAGTGACAGAACTATATATGCAGTCTCCTACACAGCTCATCCTCTAGGCTGAGCACAAAATTATGCTTGAGTAGGTACAGTAGAATTGAAGTTTTCATCAAGTGAACAGCAGTAGGCGTTGATCCTTACATGGTCATTCCTTCCTAGATTTTTCAGTTATCTTCTGTGATTAGTTTCAACCTTGACACATGAAAGAACCTGAGTAAAAAGAGGCACCACTATGATTCCTGCATATAGGTATGGGAAGAGAGGTGACACTGGGAATTTATAGTGATTAAAAAATAAACTTCATAATTGAAGTAGATTTTGAATGTTGAATCCCACTGAAAACATTTGTAAATACAGTCTGACTCCATTGATGTATTTTGTGTTGTCAGCAGCACTGCTTTTTTGGCTTGCATGTTTTTCAATTTCAAAAAAAATTAATTTTTATTAAATTAATTTTGAACATGCTGAATGACCGCTACCTAACATCTTAAAATTGAACATTGCCTCTGAAAACAGATTGCTCAAGCAGCACTGTTTTGAATATAATGTTATAAATAACTAAATCTTGATTTTTGCAGGAAAAAGTAGTGAAAATATTTTCAGTCCACATTAAGACGGCAATTTAATACAGCCCAGTCTCCCATAGTTGCAAATAAATAAATAAATAAAAATATTTGTACTATGTAATGCTCCCTCCTTTCTGGAAGGAGAGTCAAAATTAGTTGTTTAATTCAGAAGTAACAGACAACATTTAATAGTTGAATTTTTTTTCCTAAAAGGAAAAGCCTTATAAATGCCCCTTAGAGAGCACTTACCACTGTGGACAAAAATAGTAAAATTCATAACTTTATTACAGATTCACGTGGCTATTAATGATACAACTTGAGGTTTCACATTTA